TATACATTATTATATATTAAATATTACATTTTAAAATAATGTGTTAAAATACATTAAACATTATATATTACATAAATTAAATTATTGCATATTTTAAAAATATTAATCTGACTGAAACCCAAAAGGTTTCAAAAATTTTTGAACAAGTGTCCAAACTGCAAAAGATCCCCACCAACACAACCTCAACTGCACCCTCTCTAAATGATGTCCTTTGTGCATACAGGACAATATTTCTGCAAGACCTACAAACTACTCAGGAACAGACATTGGGTGCGCTGTGCCACTGAAACTTGTAACCTTAGCTCCATGTCTTCACCCAAATTACTAGTCTTCAAAACCAAATCTACTTCCAAGATATTTGAATTTTTCACTCCAGCCCACATTTAATTCACAGACTATTTTTGTAATTTAAACTGATAATGATAAATAGTACCCTGGCAAAAAGATCCCTTTGCAGAGCACAGACGTGAAACACTCTTGGTATGCCTGCACTTCTCTTCAGTGTCCCACCAGGATAAATGGTGGGGGATGGTTATCAGAGGAAGATCAGGACCACCCACACAATGCAGTCACAGCACAGCATTGCATCCTTCTACCATTCAATACAAATGGTCAGTAAATCTGCCACAATGGAGTCAGATCTGCTCATGGGCTCCTAGGAAGCAGGCAATGACATGTGGGATAAGAATTGCATTGAGAGGCATTTCCCAAGTTTGAAATCTCTAAACTCTTTATCCTTTTATTTCCATATGGTTATGAATTATTCCCATGCAAATGTATCTGAACAATATCTATAAATTTATTTTTGGTGAAAAGAGCTGTCCATATAAATTTTTTTGGAGCCACAAGCTGAAGTCTGCAAAATATTTAACTTTCTTCTCCTTCCTTCTTTTTCATGGAAGTATGCAAATGCATTTCAGTATCAATTTTGTATGACAAGAAATATGTAACTTAGAAGAACATTTATGGGTGCAGTCCTTTCTGTCACTTTTCCTTCTTGTACTAGGCATAAACAAAACCACCAATAAAATCAAATCAGAAGAGAAAGAGTTTGTGTTTTTACCGGGTAGATTCATTGGCACACATATGAGAGATTTATTTCGATGAGGAGGTCCTTCACTGGTGTTTGCCAGCAGGCACATCCAGTCTGCTTGGCTCCCAGATGTAATCCACATTTTACCACCATTTATGACATATTCATCACCTTTTCTCACAGCTGTTGTCTTGATATCTATTTCAAAACATAGGAAATGAAGGGTTATTCTTGTGAAGGAGGGATAAATCGGTCTCTATGTGACTGGTAGAATCACTCCCTTACTCTCAGGCAGACAACTAATATTTGGTTCTCCCTCATATCCCCCAGGTCCTCTAACCCTTCAAGGCACAAGGCAAACCAGTCTGGACAACTCTTGGAAGGCAAGCCGAGGAAACAAGACCGCTTCTCTCACCCTCCTTTAGGTGGAGTCTTCATCCCAGTGGATGAAAGCAGCAAAATCCCTAAGTAAATGTGGTGGTCAAAAACTCGGGACAGAAGCATTTCACTCTGAGGTGATCTATTAGCATTTCTGTACTGTGCACATTAGTCACAGAGGAGTCCATTAATTTCAGAGTCCTGACTTAAACGTATATAAGTCCTGATTTCTGTGTATGCAAAAATATATACTTACTTGCACTTCGTGCATGTTCTGAATGTTCCTGCATGTGTCAGAATGGCGCAACAAGTTCAAAGCTGGTAAACTATCAAAAAAACTATCAAAAGGCCAAGTCTAAATGTCTGTACATGAAGGAGTTCTAAACACCTGCTATTTATACACCCTGGCAAAACCAATCTTATTTTCCTCTGTGAGTGTTCACATCATGCTGCAAGCAGCCCTAGTTGCAACAGACAGCCGGAGTGATTCACTAGTTATTGCTTACACTCCAGCAGAACTTCCAAAGGGCTAGCTTCTTTCCCCTGCAATTGAACTTCTTCAACTAGAACCTCAACTGAGGAAGACTCTCAAACAATTATCCAGCCATAAGTAGGTGACAGTATAAGAGAACCCTACAACACTCTTAATAGCACCTGTAAATCCAACAAGACTATAAAGTTTGTAAGAGCCCACCTACTGATGGCAACTGTAGATTTGGAGGGTAGAGGTCAGATACCAAGAGTGGAGTGAGTGGCCAGGCCCATTTTAGTCATCTGGTTATACTTTCATACACACACACCTCAATCTGCACATAAATGTTCTTCCCAAAGGCCCTAAATTTAAACCAAAAGCAAAAGCAAGTATGTGATCTTCATTTACAAGATAAACTGGGACTGAGGTCAGCATGGCTGAAAAGCAGTCTTGTTAATGACTGAACAGGGGAAAAATGATGGAAGAAAACTGTATACAGTATGAAACAAGGGAGTATGGAATATGTCTCTGGCTAAAGGAATGTACAAGCAGATAATGGTGAACAGCAAGGGAAAGTGCTAATGTGGTTAAACCTAGCAGCCATAGAGCTATTCAGTCAATGAAAGGACTATGCCAAGTCTGTCCAAGGGGCTTAGTATGAAATCTGTGTAATAATGAAGACCAAGAAACTGAAGGAATCTAAAGTACTGACACTCATAACACAGACACTGAACAATCATATACATGGAGACTAAATAACAAATGAAGGACACACAAGAGCTGGAACGAAAAATATGACAGTTCTGAAGGAGTGTGACAAGGATGGGAGCATACACAGTGATTTACATCACATGTCCCTTTGTTGTGGAACAGCTACTGAAGAGATTAGATAGAGGAACCATGGAAGGTCTGCAGAGGAACAATGAGCACTGTGATGTTACCACAAATGTAAATAGTTCTTGAAAGCATGGCGTCACAGGCAACTAACCACCCAAATACAGATTAAAGAACAAATGTCTTACTAATGAGAATGTTCAAGTACTCCCAGATTCAATGGTTGACTGTTTCCTTGGAACACTTGAGAAACAACTATTTAAAATGAACTTATGAAGAGTTGATTTACTTTAATTAGAAGACAATCAAGTCAATATGTAAGTTTTATGTTCAAAATACAGCAGGCTTTGAAAAACTGCTTAACAATTTACTCAAGTCAAGTGGACTCAGACTCAGGGATATGGCTATGAAGATAATTTGGAATATTTGAGTAATTATTCTTCCTGATAGAGCATAGCTCCGGGAAGAGTCTACTTCAGTGGGTGCTCTCATTTCTGGCAGGTCCTCACCACTGACCCTGTAGTGTTTATAACTCAACATTGTTCAGAGCATGCTATCAGGACTCCTTCTAGGAAAGAGCACAAGGCATACCTGAAGGCATATGATACACCTAGTGCCATATAAGCAACCAGGACTGGCCATTTCACCATTCCAATCACATATACTTGAGCCTCAATTTTCTTCTCCACTGTGCTTTTGAGTCCAGTCATGCCTCTAAATAAATTTGACTAAAGGCAAGGTTGGCTTCAACTTTTAAGGTCAATATTATGATCAAAGATAGGCAAGGCATACCCTTAAAATAAAATATAAAGAACACATTTCTGAAATTTACATCATCAGCACAGGAAAAAAAACCCCGAAACTTTAATGAAATACCTTCAAGTCTAAGTGAATGAATAATCACTTCAAAAAACAGATGACCTGCAGGAAAGGAAAGAGATTAATCATCAAAGTAACCTACAGTTTGGAGGTCAGAAGAACTGCAACAGGTCAAAGTAAGTTAAATCTCGCAGATGAAAACCAACAAAATCAAAGAAGATGGAGGCAGCAAACAAAAATGTTTCAGCCACAGAAATGAAAGGAGAATGGAAAAAAAAATGAGGCATATAGAGGACACCTCAAAACTGAAGAAATATTTCACATGAGATTACAAAGAAATTCACAATATAGCTGACAAAGCAAGACATCTACAGAAAGGACTGTACATAAGTTAAAATTAGTGAGAACAAAGGTTGCTGGTTTTGGCAGTCTGCACAGCCTCAGAATACATTTGGAACAAAAGGATAATTCAGTTTACCCATGGTATCTTATTTAAACCCAACCTGTTTTGTTTATTATGAAAATAGACTTTCTAGAAAAAAACAGAACAGGAAAAATCCTGTTGGACCCAAGCAAGCTAACATTGATGCTACCAGGTAACTATGAGTTAAAATTTGAAAAGCTAAGACTTAGAACAAAAGTGAAAATGTGCATAAGTAACTTGGTAAAGGGAAAACTGCATCAGATTGCATTAGAAGAGGAAGTGCTGATATGTAGGGAGGGTACTAGTTGAGCTTCTCCTTGGATATCAGCATTTGTACAAAACCTCTTGAATATTTCCATTATTGATATTTCAAAGAAAAGGAATACACTAATGGAATTTGCTGATGACACAAACTTGGGAGACATCACTAACATAGACAACTGAGGTATTACCCAGCAAGAAGGAAATGATCTCAAGTTTACAAATTCAACATGGCAAGTAGAAGTACTGAGGCACTAAGTAACAAGAATGATGAATGTTTCAATAGCAAACTGGTAATGAAGATGATCACATAGTTAATCACAGGATTCACAAGCTTGCAAACTGTTGTGTAACATCACATATCAGAGAGTAATATTTCTATTAGGGTTGGAAAAGTATTTGGGCCATTATAGACACCATGTGCAATTCTGGCTTTTATGCTCGAAAAAAGATGACCTCAACCCCGAAAAGAAGAAAGATTGGATTCCACTGAGACAGAGTGGGGCAAGAGGTTGAAGAGGTGGACTTAAACAGGTTTGCTAAGTGCAGTTGCCTGGAAGACATAACCTGAAGAAAGAGGAAGTGTCTTCCGTGATATGTTCTTACATAGCTCCCACAGACTACCAGCCAAACATTATATAAATTGTGGACCAGTGATACTCAGAACACGAGTTAGTGCTGCTCATGCAGAAGCTGTCCATTTAATTACCCTTTAGAAGCACTGTATGCTGGTATCTGGATTTATACCAGGAATCAGATCTTCCATGACAGTTGAAAAAGTATTGTCATTTCATCCTGCAGTCTGCCTCCAAGCTGCAGTATAGGTTCATCAGGTGATCCTAGCTGATTCCAAATTTGGTTTTAACTGCATTAATCCAAGTATATTATACCAATTAAACTAGATGATAAACAACATACTACTAAAAGAATATTTATGTTACTTATATCTGGAACACTACATCAAAAAATTAAATCAATATTTAAAAATTTCTGATAATCATCTAATTAAACTAGAGAGGCATTTATTAAAATAAATGATGTTTTATTTCCTACATTAGCAAAATTCAAATTTCTAATTATTTTAATGAAAAACAAGTCTATAAAAATTATGGAATTTTTCTTATGAACAAATTCAATTAACTAGAAAGGAAAATAGCAATGGATGATGCAGGAAGATTTAGTCCCATTACTTCATTATCCCTATTAGCTCTCTTGAAATTTACCCTTGCTCAAGCACTGGATAATTATCTATTTATCTTGAGAAAACAACAGGAATTTGGTCAAGGAAATGGACATAGGACTCCACTGATAAAAAACTCCTGTCAAACTCAGATAGTTTGACTGCAGGAAGATGTTGTCTCAGTAATTTGTAAGAGGACAATGTGTTCAACTATTGCCATCTTAAGTCCAACCATTAAGCCTCTAAAAGTAGTGTCTTATCATTCCTTTTCCTCAAAGTCCAGAATTCATAGTCAGGAGACAACTTTCACTTTTTCTACAGCATCTGTTTTAATTTTATTATTCAAATCTACTGCCTCAGGCACTTCAGAACAACAGTTTCATTTGCCCATGTTTTTAAACATATTTTTGCACTAAACCAAGAAAAACAGTTGTATGCAAAGGAATTAAATTGCAAAACCACAAGATTTGACAAGGCAAATTCTTTATTAGCTCTAAATAAAACTAACCAGTTCAGAAATAATTTTACTTCACAGGAATGGGGCTGAGTTGAGGTAAAGCTGAACAAGAGGAACCCACTGTGAAAGTGATGCCATCATTTTCCGAATGGATTGGCTCTGCGGTTTGCCCAAGCCAGTTTTCAGGCAGTGCAAGTTTTGATACAGCTGACCAGGTCATGTTCCCTGTCACATACATCTGCAAATTTGCACTACCTACACTGGCTGTGCAACCAATGAGATGCTGGAGTGCTCCTGCCAGTGGTGATGCCAGACAGAACAGGGGAGGAAGGAGCAGAACAAGACCAGGAGAAAAACAGGGCGAGACATGCCCTGGTTGTGCTCAGCCTATACAAGGTTATAGCTATAGATTCACTGAGAAATGTGTTTAATGTAAATGCTTCTAGATGCATCAGAAGCATGTGTTACTGCTCCTGGAGCATTACATTTTGCCCTCACCGCACTAGACTTTCCTTCCTTTGTGTTTCTTACAATGACCATGGCAAAGGGAAGGGACAGGGAAACCAGATTCTTCCCATTAAAATACCAGGTTGTCTCAAATTGGCAGTTTGCTAGGTTAACTTACTTGCAACATCTGACCCAGCTCCAGTTTCACTGATTCCCAAGCAAACCACATAATCTCCAGCTATAGTTGGTGCAAGGAACTGTTTTTTCAACTCATCGGAGCCAAACCTGTGACAAAATAATGAAAAAGGTAGGATATTAAAAGCAGTTGAAGGGGAATTTTACTTACAAGTTAATTACAAGTTTTGTTCTACACTCGGTGATCAGTTTTCCTATGACGAGGCAAAACCTGTCCCAGAGCTAAAAGATAGATTAGATACCCTCCAACGCTATGATTCAGAACCTTCACCAGAAGTGCAGTCACAATCATTTCAAAATAGTTTTAACAAGTATTGCCTTCACCAGAAGTGCAGTCACAGTCATTTCAAAATAGTTTTAACAAGTATTCAGGTATCTTACTCCCACAGAAACATATGGTCTAGGTGCCCAAAATCTGACGTCTATGTCTCTTGCTTTAAGAGCAACCAGATATAAACAAGCGTAGCCCCTGGGGTATTTCCTCAATGCTCCTGCACCAGTCTGCAGTCAGCCAGGATGGAGGACCCATTCTGTTTGTCTGACTTTTGCACTAGCTCTTTGCCAGGTTTCAGTGACTGAAAAGTTATAACATGTGATGGCCACACTCTGCAAATATCTGTACTTACATTATTAGTATTTCACATCTGACTTTAAATCACACAGCAAAATCCCTTAGTGCTTCTTTGAAGCCATTCTTTTAGCCACCACAAAAAGGGAAACAGCACACTGTTAATGACATTTTAACATGAAATTTCACTTGGCCATATTTCAATCCAGTTAAGAGACACACACTTTTCCCCTCCATTATTTAGCTGCCTGCATCCATTCAAAACTTGGTCCATCTCATTTCATGGTTGATTTTGTCCTAATTAACATTCACTGATTTGGTCTTGTGGCATGAATGGTGAGCTCATGGTCTAGTTCTTGAACCTCTTTTCTGTGACTGAAAAGTTCCTCAGGTCATGAAATGTCTTGTCTGTGTGCAGAAATCCATTAAAGTCAAGTTCCTCCTCAGCCTCCTCTTTGCTATGAGACTTCTCAGATCATCACCACTTGTCTCCTCGAGCTTGCTGGCTGTCTAAGCACGCTGCAGTTAACTGGACCCTCCTTCTAAAACTTTGCCTCAGTACTTCCAAAGGAATAATGCCATCCTAGCTAAGACTAAGCCTTCCCCTCCATTCCAACCCTGACCCAAAGGAAACAGGATAGCCAGAAAAAAGGCCGAGAGCTGGCAGACACTTTCACTTGATGCACACAGGGAGCTCAATTCCTAGCCCTGTCCCTGCTAATAATCACAGCAGCAATCCCAGATAAATACAAGAAGCAGGTCTGGAGTGCTTACTCCTTCCTCCAGCATAGTGGAACAAAGTCCCCATGTCTGTTATGTAGTGCACTTTTTAAAAATTTATTTTCCTTGGGACATGATCAAGTATGGCCAGCTGAACACTCATTAGACAAAAATAAAAAGCCAACCAACAACACAGAAAATCAGATTATGAGAGCAGCTAGTAGGGATTTTTGGCAATGTTTTCTGATGCTTGAAACTTCTCCAACCTTTAATATTTCAGCTGAGGATTTCCACAGCAAGAACTTTTCCCAGAATAACATTTTTTGTTTGATATCTTTATTTGATTTAAGTTCTAGAAAACAGTTCAGTTCTTTCCAAAAATGATGCTTCAGAAGAAGTTATTTGCAATCAAATAAAAGTCTGACAACACTATCTTCAGAAGATCACGTCTCTATGTCTTGCTGGAATGATATGCAGCTCAGCAAGCAGCTAGATATTGTGTGCACATGTCTACTGCACATCACTATTCTGACTTAATCAGGCTGATAATCATCTTGGTAGAGCCACAGATCTTATTCACTTTTGTTTCTTTCAGATGAGCTGAAGTGAGTTAAATTAGTAAGGAAAGTTCTGAGTAGAGCTGATAGATATACTCATGATATACAATTAAGTGCAAATGAAATTCTGAATATGAACAGTTGCAGGTGGTTCTGCTATGGCTCTCAGCATTTGATCAACTCAAGCTTTCTTGCACTGCAGCTCAGACATTCAAGCACTATTGACCACCAAAGCAAAAACAAAGAAAAAAAAAAAAAGAGAAGCTTTTGGATGATCTATGAATCATTTTTCAGCATCTCAAAGATGACACAATAGTTTATTCATGGACTTCCTCAGTATATAAAGATTTGATTTAGTCAAAGAAGATGGTAACTCTGACCTAGTGTCACCTTCCCTCTTTTACATTGTAGCAAGAGGTCAATTTCTCCCAATTCTCTTTCTGCTCTGCTCCTGGACTCAGTTAATAATGCAGTAGTCATATCCTACTCTTGTTCTTCAGTATAGTCCTGCACAGGCATCCTACCATCTCATGCCAAGGTCCAGCTTAGATCTCCTTGGATCTTTAAGATACAAGAAAATAAGCAAGAAAAAAGAGAGGTGTTTCTTACTGGCAAATAAAGGGTTAAAAATGCATGGTGAACAGCAGTCAGCACAGTGGGACACATAAAAGCCTCATTAAGTTCAGTAATTTACATAACCTGGATTTAAAAGAATCCACACTGCAATCAGCTTTCTCTCCTTGAGGCCCTACTTCAACCAAGATAAAAAGTGGTAAAAAACCCACATTTAGAAAACTCATGTTTTGTAAAAGATGACATAAGAAAAAAAGCAATAAGAAAAGTTATCTGGTTCCCAGCCTTTAAGCTTCAGTTATTTGAAGATTTTATGAAATAAATTGTTCAGTTCAAGCTAATGCTATGTTCTGGAAAGAACACAGATGAGAAGCCTGATGGACAGATACCTCACGCAGATGAGACTACCTGAAGGGTTTTGGTTAAGAATGATTATGTCAATATTCTATTTATTTAGGAATGCATTTACACTGAAATGCAGGTATAGTAAAAGTAAAGTCATTTTTAAAGATTTCCCTCATCATATCTTGCAGTTTTTAAGAGCTGTTTTTCACATGGCTGGTGTCTTGCTGTGACCACACCAGCTCTGGAGACCTCTTGGGTTGCCCACCAGACAACCTGTCACCACAGCATAGCAAAGCTGTCACCAGGAGATGGAGAAACCTCAAAGTGTGGGAACAGCATGAAGCTATTTTGAGGAAAGCTTGTCCAGAAGCAGCTGCTCGATTTCAGAATGTCTCACCACATTGCTCTAGCCAGGTCAGATCCTCACAGGTTTTCAAAACCACAAAGCAGCACAACAGGCTATGAATGCAGCAGAACCAGCCATAATGACAGCAATGCCTAGTGATACCTTTTTTAATGGCATGTTGAAAGCTGCGCCTCGAACAGTCTCTGCTTTGGCTCAGGGCAAGACTTGGCCTAAGTTATGTACACTATATAACTTATGCACCAGATGTGAGACTGAGGCAGCTCATTGTGTCTGTTCTTCAGGAAGCACAAAACCAAGCTTCTCTTATGTTATAACAGTGGGAAAGCCACTTGGCTCTTGAATGACCTCTTCCCATTTTTGCCCTTTTCCCAGCTGATCAAAACCACTGCTCTGATTGTCAGCTGCAGCTTCTCTTCTTTAGAGTAAACAGGAAAGCAGATATAAAACCTCATTTTTTGGATATTAATTCCCAGGTATGCTGCTGTCCAGGGTGGAGAAAGAATCAGGGATGAGTAAGTTGATGAAATAGACAAGCACTCTCTTCCCACTAAATAATCATCATTATCCCTACTAATTTCCTATAAACAATACAGAAAAAAAAAAAGAAAAGGAAAGTTCACTGCCTATTGCTCAGGTAAAGCAGCTTTACACTGATCTGGTATCACTGTGGATGTGTCACCCTACATGTTTGTTTATAAGCCCAAGGAAATGTTTAGAAGCCCACTGGCTCGGCTCAGAGCTGCTTTCTCCACTTTACTTGTTAGCATGAAAGCAAGTGAAGTATTTCTGAAGGTTCTCAAAAAAAATCATAAAGAATGAAGCAAAAAGGGGCAACAGTGATCGGACAGATGTGTGCAATATACTCAAAAATCATTACTTAAATAATTGAAACTGTTACTGTAATGTACTTCCCATTTAACTGAACATCTCGAAGTCCTTATAAACTAAGCCTTGCAACAGCTTGTCACTGACGCAAAAAAAACACCTATGGAAGTAGCAGAAACAGTATCAGGATCATTATGACTCTACATCTTCTAAGACTATAATTTTCCAAAGTATGAACACTTTAAAAGTTCTGTGTCTGCATGTGCATTTATACTGAAGTGTCTCTCTCTTCAAACTACTGCACTGTAGTGCAGTAAATTAGAGAAGGGAACTTCTCTGATTTATAGAGGCAAAGCATGTTCATGACTTATCACATTCACTGAGTCAGTTCATAGGTGCACTCAATACATGCTGCATGAATGCTGAATGAAGTCCAAAGTAAGGAAAGCCAATAAAGAGCTCCAGATGTTTTTTTAGGAAGTGATGGTTGATTCCCATATTACTGTTTGCTTTGTGCATCATGAATGCATCATGTGTAGCAATGCATAATTAAGATGCAAAATTTGGATTATCTCTTTGCACTTGTTTAGAATCACCGTAGTACAGATACCTTTAAGGAAACCATCCAGGATATGGATGCCATTTGAATCCATGACCAAGGACAAGCAGTTATCCCTCCCACTATACTGCATGAGGTAAAGATGCACTTGTGCTAAGTTTCCTGCAGCGGCCAGCTTTCCCTTTTCATTACCAGTTTCACTTTCACATGTGGAAGTGGGACATTGTACTGTATAGTCAGTGGAATTGACTTAACAGTGGCGGAAAAATTGACTAATACAGACACAAATTCAATTAACAGATTTCATCAAGTCAATGACATTTTCATACTTACTTTCCAAGAACATTCACCCTAGGATTTCACTAGAACAAATGTACATAGCTGCACTGCTTTGCTACAGCAGAACAGAGTAACAAAAGGCCAAAAACCTGCAATGGAACAAAATCCCATCTTCTTTTACCCACAGATTTTCTTTAAACCCCTGGGAATAAAAATCTGTTGTAGGGGCAAGGTACTATTCTCTGAAGTCTTCTAAAATACTATTTTTAGTCTCAGTTGGACTATAACTAAGCTACTGTTGCCACAGACATACTGAAATCCATGCTTTCAGCAAGCTTTTGGTGTATTACACAAAGGAAAAGAAAACTTTAAGAAAAATTTGTAGCAGATGAAACCTCTGAACTCACACATACCTAGCAGAAGGATAAATTGATGTCAAGGGAACAGATCTTAGAGAGTGTAAAGATTTGCAGGCATTTTCATTCAGAATGGGAAAAAGAAGCCCAAACCAAACCAACAAATAACCCAACCCTAAAATGCCCTTCTGAGCAAATTTTGCTGTCTTCTATATGTTTTGTGCAGAGAAATTCTCTATTTCATGATAATTATTTGAATTTAATTCCCACTCCCACCTTCCAGAATTTTAGGTGTATCCATATTCCAGGGGCAAACTGCTGGACCAGCCTGTTGCCTCCCTCTAGTTTTGCAAACTGCTGTTATGATGCAGAATGTCTGAGAAATTACATCATGGAGAAGTTGGTAACTGTCACTTTTATTGAGGGAGTAAGAAAACCCAACAAAACAGAAAGTACAGGAGCCTGGATGACTGCAAGTGATAAAAAGGGGAACACACGTAACAGATGAGAAAAATCAAAATGATTAATTGCCTGGAATGGGTGTATTTAGGAAGCATGATACATGCACTACTGCTTTAAGATGTATACTCACAGCTTGCAAAGGTGGAAAAAATAAGTAAATTACAAACCAGAATTCGACTGATCCTAATCATTACAACTAAATGCATCCTTAGTATGACTGCACTGGGATATCTGGCTAAGAAGAAAGACAAACATGAATAGGGGGATTCTGGAATTGAAATTGTTTTATTGGTGGTGGCACCAAGTCTTTGTGTTTGTAAACATATCATCTACTACTGAACAAGGCTTATGTTTTAATATACAATAATCTAACATTTAAAAAAAGGTTATTTTCTTCCCTGAACCAAACTTTCTCAGAGAAGTAGAAAGTAGGTTCCTTCCTCACGCATTACTGAAGAGCAACTAGACAGCAAATCTGCACAGTAATGTTTTTTTCTACTCTTATACAGTTTGGGTTTCAGGCCTAAGCACACAGTGATTTGGGTTTTAGGCTAAATTAAACTTTCTGAAAGTTACCTTGTAAGTGCAGGAGTAGCCATGCCAACTTGCACTCCAATAACCATAGGAATACCTCCACAGCGGATATTTCCCAGTTCTTCTGCCATTGCAATGTTATAGGAGAAATCCAGGCCCATGCCGCCGTACTCTGAAGAAAAAACAAATCTATGATTCTTATGTTCTAGACTTGTATAAGCAACAGGAAAAAGAAATAAGATATTGCCAAAGACCTGCCAGCTGCAAATGCACTACTAATATTTAAGCATTTGACAATTCCTTTCAGAAAAACAACACTGTGCTATTCTGTACAATATCTGAATTGAGAATTACACCTGCTCTAATTACCTGTGTGCACATCAGGTCATCTCTGAATATCCCTAAGTAGCCTCATTACTTTTACTGGAAACAGCAGGAAGAAGTAACATGCTGTTGAAAACGACATCAGAAGGCCAAATTATTCTTTCTAACAGCAAGGTCATATGAACAAATCACACCACAAGGTAAGAAGTGCTTTTATTTCTCCATGATAAGGCCTGACACCCACTCTCACCCACCAGTGCAATCATCTTCCTCAGACACAGCAGTCAAGTCAGCACAGAGCAAGATCACATGCAGGTCATGTGTCTATACTAAGTTACTATTGTAGCTCAAAATCCATGTTAGACACAACTACAATACTTCATATCCTGGCACCTGGTTGGTGCAGTCATTAAAGCATTCTTCATTAGCAGGAGGCTGACAACCTGGGGTGCTGGTTGGGCTCCAGCACAGGCCATTTCCCTCCCACTCCCCGCCATTCCAATCTGCAAATTCAATTAAAGTGGAAATTATTCTTCACCTCATTCCCATGCCCAGTGCTGATAAACCCACCATGTAGTGAAGCACAGAAAAGGCTACATTGCTATGATGGATGAGGTAATTTCTAGCTGCATTAAATAGCTTACAGTCCAAAAGAAATATGGTGAAAAAGCGAAGGTTACTGCTTGACGTCATTAGTTGACTGAGAAGCTTTGATTAGATAATGTTTTCCTCCTTCTTTTTTTAACAGATTTAAAGACTGACTAAGAAAATTACAAATAAATTGATACAACCCCTTACCCTTCACACACACAATAAGGGGCAGACAACTCTGTTCTGTTTTCACTTGCTGACATGAAACACTGAGCTTACTCCTCTACTGACCTCCTCTGAAGTTTTCAAAAAACACCATTAAACAAAAGTCAAAACACCACTGTACATACAAACACAGGGCTTTGAGTGCTGTCATCTGTTTCCTAAACCCACAGAAATTATCTTTGTGCATCCTTTTTCTGCAGAAAGGAAAACACAAATGGAAAAGGCTAAGCAAAAAGTTCAGTTTTCAAACAACATTTCTCTTCAGGTCATCCTGAACAGCCTGGATTGTCAGAATTATCGAACAGCTACTTTTCCAAACTTTTGCCTGAAAAGAATGCTTCTTAAAAATTTATACTAAATTAAAGTTCCTACTTGGAGCTTAAGCAGTACAATGAAACAGCTGCAATACGAGAATTTGTCTTGCCTTTACAGAGCCCCAACAATAAATAAAGTCTCTGAGGAGTGGTAAGGAAGGTATGTGCAAGCAAAGGCAAAGGCAAAGGTAAAGATATCTGGCATGAGGGAGTTTTTGCTAATTTCATATGAATCTATAGCAGAGCTATAATAGAAAACCTCAGTTTTGGCACCACAGAAATACTTTTCATTTGGTTTTTCTTTTTTTTTTTAAAATCAGTCAATATTTTTATTGCCAAACTACAGTTGATACTGATTTTATCTTTGGTTTTGTCTACCAGGCAGTTATATTCCTGTCTTTCACTTACATTTTGCAAACCAAAACCTTAATTCCTTGATTTACTCAAAGCAACTTCACAGGAGGAATGCTATGCACAAAACTGACTAGAAGGAATACCAAGTACACACCTTACCGACATTCTTGGTCCATACTGCAATTCATTCTATATTACCATGTAACAGACTCATTCTCATTTGGGATTAGTTACTAAGCAGTACATTTTAAAAAGAAAATGCTGCTAAAGGCCAGCTCTCAAAGGGATGACACTGAAGGAATTTTCAGCCAAAGGGAGTAAAGGATAAGAACGAAGCCTTGGTAGCTGGAGGTGGAGGGGGAAGACTTGCGAGGCAAAGAGATGATAAAATCCAAAGATTTTATAATCTGGACCTAGATAAAACCACAGATGCAAGTGGGCAGGAAGGGTGGAAGCAAATGGTAAAAACATTAATCAGACCACACCTAAGCTTTCATCAGCTCTGTTCCAGGACCCAAGGAGATAGAGTTTCATGGGCAAACACAAGTGATTTGACAGACAATGATAGAGAATGCCTTTTTGAACCCAAAGTATTTGATGGAGACAGAGATTCACTCATCACTGCAGTCTGTGTCACTAGATCTCCAGTCATTTGGGTAACTTATGCCATGGCTAAGGGCAGTTGTGTCCCATCTCTTTGGAGAACTGATATCTGCACCGGGACAGGCTGCCAGCAGTGTCACACACAGTAATAGCAGGCAGTGCTGGCTCCAAGCACCAAAGCAACTTTTTTTTTCCTCAGCAGCCTGGATCTCACTATTCTGGGGCTGGTCTGAGCACATAGCCCTGTGTGCCATGGGACTCAACTCTTTAACAGAGACAAAACCACCAGGCTGTTATTTCCATCTGCTGCAGCGATGGTAGTGGAAGTTTTATGGAATGAATATTTCATTTTCACTTGGAATAAGACTTACTCTTTTTGAATAACTCTTATTTGCAAAAAGGGAATATGCTTGTGGTAAGATGTTTGTGTTCGTCAGTCTCATCAACAAACAACACCTCCTGGAAGTATCTGTACCATGATGTAATGCTAATAGGTCAATTAAATTTTCACTCAGGAAAGCAAACAGCATGCATGACATAATTTTTGGTGAAAAATCCACAATAAAAGGAACTAAATCAATTCCAGATTTGGTTGCCTTTTTAAAAATAAATAAAAAAAGAGAATAACATGCTATATATAAATATTCACATGTAAAACCTTTCTAGGGTAAATTTTTCATTTAACTTTAAAGCATCACAGGTGACCTTTAGAGAATTATTTGGCTACACTGCCATTCTAACTTGCAAGAAATTTAAAAGAAAGTCTAATGCACGAGTGCTCTCATAATCCAAGACAGGTAGAAAAAGGCAACTCTGCTATACTCAAATTGTTCCTGTTTTGATGGCAATAGCACAACTTCCAGCTGTTAAATGGCTTAATTTCATATCTTACCCATTGCTTGATTTCAAGTTCTTTTACAAAGAAATTAAATTATAAAGCCCAAAGTGAGAACACAGGAACATAAAAACAAATAAAGACTCTGCACTGCAGACCATGCTGGAGGAAGGAAATGTGTGAGGAGGAAAGAGTAGCAGAGAGGATGTGCCATGGAGTGACTGTAACCCCCCATCCCTGTCACCCTGCACTGCTCGGGGTGGGGAGGGGGGTAGATGACTCAGGAATGAAGAACTGAAGCTGAGCTTGGGAAGAAGGGAGAGAGGATAGCGGAACATGTTGTTTTAATTTGCCTTTGTTTCTCACTACACAAATCTATTGTAATTGGCAGGAAATTAGACTAATTTTCCCCCAGAATGCCTGCGTTGCCTGTGACGGTAACTGGTGACCAATCTCCCTGATTTCTTCTCGACAGCTGAGCCTGACCAATATATTTTCAGCCCTGTCCTGTTGAGGAGGGGGAGTGAGCAAGCAGCTGGCCAAGATAACCAACCACACCACAGTCAGTATGTTAACCTATTCTTTTAAATTGGCTCTGTGTTTTTCTGCTAATCACCACCACCACTACATTATTTAAACACTCCCACTCCACAAAAGCTCCTTATTTTATATAGACCAGCAAATTTCTACATGTTAAGTTTGTGAAACTGGCAGTGGAGTCCAAAAGAACACAGTGATATTTAAAAACCATTGTTTTTAAAAGATGTAGTGCACATTCCACTAAATCTGCTAATTTAGGGTATCAAGACTTGTGTGTGAATATAGGCAGACAGCATAGATCATGCCCAAAACTAAAAATAAAAGAACAGAATCTTCAGCAGAAACAGAAAGATCCGTCGGGAAAACAAAGGCAAAGAATGCCTATGAAAAAGGCAAAGGAGAATCTGAAGTCTTTCCTATAATTGTTTAATTTTTGTGAAGACCAATGCATTTCTTGTTCAGGGTCCCTATTCAAATATCACTCTGTTCAATGATGAGACAGGCCTGAAGTCTCTAGTCCAAATTTTGTAAGAGTTTGAAGTGTCTCCATTTAGAATTTGTTTCTGAATCCCATATAATAGTAGTCAGTGGGAATGACAACTGTGGTGAAAAGGGTCTGTGAGTTGAGGCAAGGTGAAACAGGGCATCTTCAAAGTGTTTAAGAATGTAAGTGAGCCTGGGGATAGGAATGGTGACAACACAATACAGCTGTATCAGTAACTCCATCTTATATGCTTATATAATTTATCTTGTTTGTTTACATAGTTTCTGAAGTTTGCATAAAGTGTATCTATACCAAAGGAAATCATGCAGTATTATTTCTAAAATTGGCACCTACCTCGGTGCAAGAAAAAAACCAAATGTGTGCTCTTGTTTCTGGTGACTAGAAAGACAAATAAAACATGAATCAACTCTCATTTTGAAGACAGGTCTGAGAGACTCCTACATCTTACACTAGGATGACAAAGCTAATTGCCAGTTTTCATCATAGCCTACAATTCTAAATCAACAGGAGCAAAATTTAAGTGTTCGAACCTTACTCACCTATCATAAATATAGTTCAAGAATTTCAACTCCAGAGAACTAAGAGCCCTGAAGTTACATAACTGCAAACATCACGAGGTAGGACAGTATAGAAATCTTATCATAATTCCTTTCCTCTTCTTTATGTAAAAGGAATTTAAAGAATTACCAAAGATGTACTCTGTGTTGTGCAATTTCTCATAAACACATTCTGGAAAGTTGAGGCTGATCAAGCTCAGAAAACACCTCATGCCTTCTTGCTTATTGGCTTTTGGCTGAGTGTAGAGGGAAAAACCTCTCATTTTGTGTAACAGAAACACCATAAGTCCACTTTAGTCTCATGGAGATAATGACATATGTATT